TTGTTTTCATTTGTATCATATAAATAAATGTACATATTCTTTCTAATGAAAACTACCTGTGGGTATCAAATTTTCTAAATATTTTTTATTTATTTTAATTAATCTATTTGTAATGCATTTTTGCTGGTTGAAAGTAATACAAAATTCGACCATAGAAACTAAATATTTGATATGATCATACCAAAGATTGTCAAAATTGAAAAAAAGTTCTATTCTTGTTGCTAACGAATAAATAAAAATGTATATTCATGTAAAACTATGTGTTAGTATGTACAATATTTAGCGTATGCATTTTAATTAACATATTTTAATGTTATTTACTTTTAAAATATATAGACAAAAATAATAAATTAATAATATTTGTTAATAAACATATTCGTTCAACACGAAATAAAATACTGGTAAACAAAATTATTTAAAATATTTCGTATTTAAATCATACATGATGATTAACTGAAGATAAAATGAAAGAACTCTAAAAAATATTTAATGACAGAAATGACAGAATTATTTTATTTTAGTTGAATAATTATTTTTAAATTAAAGTTGGGATTCTGTTAAAATTTAAATAGATTAAGATAAAATAAAAGAAGAACTTTAAATAAATATGGGAAACATAGGGAATGAGAAAGATATTTACTTATAGATTCGCAAATTTAAATTGAATATTTTTTACTGAATTTTATATTACTTTATTAAATTACAAAATATAATATGTAACTTATTAAGTTGATAAAATATGTATCAAAATGTACATTTTAAGTTTGTAATAAATAATAAAATCAAGTTAGTAAGGTTTGAATAATAATCAAGTTAGAATCCAGTCAGATTCAAGACATAGTCTAGTTAGAATTCTGTATTCAAAATAGGTTTGACATTTTTTGCATAAATGGTTACAAAACAAATTAAACTTTTTTGTTAGTTTGACCATTTGAATATCAAGACTTTATTTGGTTTAAAAATAAGTTCCTGATGCTTAATATTAAATACATAAAAATATATACTGGCGGCAAATATTGACTACTCTTGGGTACTACTATGTACACTACATGAACTGCTAGTCCTCATATGTTTTTCGTTGTATATAGTGTTCAAACATAGAAGAGACTGTGACGTCACTTCCTGAGCGAACGTTGCTGACAATCGTGGAACTCTCCCGATCGATTAAAGGTCGTATGTATTATTACGTGCCTAACATCGACCCTACAATACATAAACCGATTTTCAAAGGTGGATTCGATTTTATGCAAATTTTTTTCACAAGGGTAATATTATTAATATCATTTCTTACAAAATTATCAGCCATCACAAATGCCATTATATTATTGAAATAAAACTATCACAGATAATATTTGAATTGAAATAACTATTATAATAAATATTATTAAATATTATTAATACCATTTCCTACAAAATTATCAGCCATCAGAATAGCCATTATATTATTAAAATAAAACATATGACATATGACATTTAATCATTCGGGAGATCCGCGATTGTCGGCAACGTTCGCTCAGCAAGTGGCGTCACAGTCCCTTGTTTTGCGCTCGACTAGCAGTTTATGTAGTATAAGGTCTATGACAAGATTACATTGTCTTAATGGAGTCACGTATTTCAAATCATTAATTAATTAATTATCAATTCAGAGTATGTATACTAATAGAGACGAATTGATGCTGCACTAAATACGCATTTTAATTGGCAAACTAAATTGAATATAATTATTAAATACTTTGACAGGTTTTATTCAATACCATGCATTAAACAAATGAATAGTCTGCATTCCATTTCTAAAACTAAATAATTTACCAAATGTAGGTCATTTACTAATTAATTAGCTTTTGATTAACAAGCTTTTTCGAGCTTATCTCATTTATGCGGCAGAAATTATTAATGAGCTGCGCATTTTGTTGAACATAATTCTCTTTCTGTATCATCGGTGTCATCTGGCCGCTATTTGCAATCAACATTGGCCACATAGAATGCCGAATCGTCAATTTTGCCAGTGTAAGCTCTATTGCTATTGATATTGGTTTAGTATTGAAATATGACGTCATTATTGCATACTGATCAATAATATCCACGGCATAATTAATAGGATTACACATGCCGAACTGCCATATATATATATATATATATATATATATATATATTTATTTATACCTAGGTGCTCTGACCGTTATGCGATGTACAATTTGTAAAGGCATTATGGGCTGATGCGGACAAAACGATGTTATTCAAACTTTGCGGGAATTTTGTAGAGATTTAAACACCATAATTAACCAGAGATAGAACAATGTTGCAATGCGGTTAAAATCTTCCTTGGTTGTACTAGTTGCAATACCCAAAATTGAATTAGATTATTGTGAACCGTTTCAAGTACTAAGATCATTAGAAGTGTATTGCATTTAAGGGTGGAGCCTTCTTCAGAGGCTTTAAAAAATCGTTTTTGTTTGAAAACGTGTCTTCCCAAACAAAACAAAACGAGACAAATTGATCGTATTCAAGATCAGTTTTCTTCTTGTTGAACCTAAAAAAACCTTAAAAACAAGTTATAATAAACCCACTTTTTGAACAATCTAAAGAAAATTTCTTTTTCCAAAAAAATATGTTTTTGAAGTTTCAAAAAATTGTTGAATATCTTACTTTTTTAGATTTTGTAGGATTAACTAGAACTATACTATTAAAAATATAAATTTGTTTTGTTTTTTTGTGTCGGATGAAAATTGTTACTTGTATCTTTGCCGCTACACGACACATGCTTGTACCCTTGTATATATGCCATATATTTAAATAAAAAATATTTAAGAAAAATGTTGAAATATATGCCAATAATACCTGGAAGTTTTGTTTCAATTCAATATTTATTTCCTTTCCTAAAAATGCCTCAAAGAAATGATATTTTGAAAACTCTAAAGCAGATTCACCCCTTAAAGCATGCTGCATAACAATCTAAATTAAATTAGCTAAAAAGTACATTTTGTTTGTGACCGTTTTTGCAAAAAAATATTAAAGCAATTTTGTAAACTGGATTATAACTTTTTCGTGGCTTGAATCCGACCTAATTCGAACTTGTCTCTAAGTAAAATTTCACTATATTCTTATTTGGTTCTTCAAACTCAAAACTTACTAAAATTTTATAAGACGATACTAACTATATTTTGAGTGAAATCTAGTTGAAAGTTAATTCTAAGTAGATTTCACCTTAGATCTAACATAATTCAAAGAATAGATCCCACAGGATCCCAGCTTGAATTCAATCAGATTCTAACTGGGTTCCAAGTTGATTCTAACTAAAAGATAAGTAGGATACATCTAGAATGTGACTAGATGTATTCTACTAGATACTAGATGAAACCTAACTAGATCCCAGTGATCGTAATAAAGTTCCAACTAAAAATAACTAGATTCTGTTTGTATTCTAAGATTTCTTCTAGATTATTACTGGACTCTAACTAGATTTTAAATTGCAAACAAATTATTTCTAATTAGTTACTTAACTTTCGTCTAAATAGCAAATTCTCAACTATAGTTGATTAGGTCAATTATTATACATATCAGGAACTTCAAACAACTTGCCCTGAGATAAATATCATTTACACCTAGATGACTAATAATTTGCACAGGTGTAAAAGAATTAAATTAAATATGCAGGCGCATAACAAGCAGATATATAGATGATTCACGTTGACTTTCTATGATGATCGATTAAGAGATTTATTTATTTTTCTCATAATTTTTCAAAAAAAAAAAAAAAATCCATACTTCCAGCAGATGAAAAGTTTTTTTAAAAAAAGATTCTAGATACATACTGAAATACGCATATATACGATGGTGTAAACAAAATAATAAATTGCTTACTAATTTTGTGTTTTTTCAAATTTTATCAATTCTCTTGTAATTTAAATGCTATTATAGTTTTATCTTAACAATACACATGCAATCTCAAAGCAAAATCATCTATCTAGTCACGTGATGACTTTCTTTCACTACTACGAAGTAGAAAACGTCTTTATATAAAAAATGCAAATGCAAAAAGGAAGAAGTGCAGATGATTAATGACTCGTCCTAAGAGAGAAAATGCAAAGAATTGACAGATTTTGAACAGGACACGTCTGCATGAAAAAGACAGATTAAAATGTTGATTTTATTCAGGAAAGGATTTAAAAATTGATTTTGAGAAGTAAATTGGTGGTAATAATCAAAATCTTGTTGTCATATAAATCTAACCAAAACTTCTCCATTACTATAGTTATCGCAGTTGTACGAGCTCTGGACCAGACTAATGGGGCAAACTCATTTCATTCTAGTTGGAGCGAGAATAATAATAATGGGCCAAACTGAATTGTAGTATTGGGTGCGTGAAATGCCCTATATATGCAAACGTATCGATTTTATGACTTTAGAACAGCTCTTTATAGGCTAATACCTGTATAACAGAAATATTTCGATAAATAGACATCATTCAAATGCACACGAGAGAATTGTAGGTTGCGGATCCATATTGGGTATAAATAGAATTTGCTAAATTCTACGTCATATAAATATATAGGTTGAATTTATTTTTTTATGTTATTTGAAAGCTAATATTTTGATTTAAAATTTTGATTTTCTTCAAGCCTTTAACATCATTTAGATTTGAAATGAATATTTCCCTAAGGTTTACCATCAACAATGTAAAAAATCTTCAAGAAGCAAGACAAACATCTGTCCTCGTTTTAAGTTTATTATTAAAACTAGTGGGGTGCATGGCATCGTGCCTTAAGGCAAATTGCTGTAACTTCCCGAACCGTAATTAAAAATCTTGGTACGGAACCCAAAAAATTCATCACAACCATTTTGTCTAAAGAATGCCAAAATGTTCAGTAACCTTTGAAACGTAAAGATATATAAAAATTTCCATTTTCGATTTTTTTGCGATTACTAGAACTTACCCTACGGGAAGTTAACTAATGCCATTATTATTACCTAATTTTAATTAAATGTAATTACTAACTCACCTGCCATTAGAAGGAAGAGGAAATCCATCCAAGGCCCAAGTAATTTGCGGAGTTGGATTTCCAGTGGCGGTGCATTTTAATGATACTGCCGGTCCTGGTTGTAAAGTTTGTTCTATGAAACTGTATAATAAAACTGGTGGAGCATCTGGAAAAATATAAAATTTTATATAAATAAATAAGGGTCTAAGATATTAATAAAATAACATTTAATTTGCCAAAAAAAACAGAAATAAACATAGTCAATAGAACCAAAAATTTTCAATCTCTATAACATATTATTTACCATACAAATTAATTTAATATACTTTAAACTAGTAGTAATATATTATTAGAGACAATAATTGCTTCTTTATTAGACCATTTGTATTATATTGTATTATAAGGAGACATATTGAAATAAAAAATAGGATATAAGAACAAAATATCATAAAACTCTTATTACGTCTTTAATGAATTAAATTTCTCTTGATTAAATTTCATATTTAATTTACTAAAAATGATATTTATATTCCTTATGACTTAAAATGGTATATTTAATTTGTTGACTTCATTAGATATTTAAAAATAAAATAAACAATACATGAAACATGTAACATAGAAAATGAGCAAAATATTGTTAAATTTTTATGATTTAGTTACATGTTTAACTGCATACACTTCCCAATAAAAAGCTATTTATATTTTCAATGTCTCAATATAATATATATATATATATATATATATATATATATATATATATATAAAACATTAAACATAAAATGGAATATTTTATTTGTTGACTTTTGAATCATATTTAATTACAAATTCATGGAGTAAAGAAAAAACAAAAATTCAATTTGGATGCTCTTTACCCTAAAACAAATTTTTATGAGTGGCTAAATAAAATAAAATACTTAAATTTAAGTTAAAAATTATTCTATCAAAATGTAAATTTTATTTCTAAAAAAATAAAATAAAATCACAATGTTCATTACAATACTGAGGTATATTCTTGGAGTACTATCGAGTTAAAATCCTGTTTTCCGTTTTCATCTCTGAAGTTTCTAGATGATTACATCCTTTTGATGAAGAATTTTTAATTAAACGTTTTTTGTTATAGTTTTTCTCTGCTGTCGGTTTTCCATTATACTCTTCTTGATTAAAACTATTTTCCATTTAAATTGTGAATCAGAAAAGCCTTTAGTAACTTTTAGGGAGTGAATCATATTGATGCGAAAATTAAAATTTAATACACATACACACACACATATATATATATATATATATATATATATATATATATATTATTCATATGAGGTTTTAATTAAGTTTATGAATATTATTTCATACTCATATAATTCTCTTCAACAATGGTCGAAATACTGAAAACTATTCTGGTTCACATTAAAAATGCCTTGAATACAAAAAAGTGTGCTCGCCGTCACGGAGCAAGGAATATTTATCGTGTAATATATTTTAGAACAAACTGCAAAAAATTCTGCGCTGCGATGGTTTTTATAAAAAAAATACAATACTTTGCTTTTGTGCAGCAAAATCCTTTGGAGCGTACATTTTACAAAATATTATGGACAGACTATGCTGCAAATTAGATATTTACATTATGCAGTAATCAAAAATGCTTTAATTAAATTAGACCATATACATACACACACACATATATATTAGGGTGGTCCTCAATATGTACATTTTCGAATACCTTGCTCCAAGGTCTCAAATGGTTCCAAATTGATAAAAAACAATTCTCTGAAAGTTTTAGCTCTGAATATTAACTTTTAGATAATGCACAATTCAATCAAACTTCGTATAGAAATAGCATGGAAAAAATTTTGAAAATTAAAAAAAATTTTTTTAAGTATAACTTAGCGACAAATGAATTAAAAGTGAGAATTCGTGTCATTTTTTATTCAAAATTCGACGCCCTGCAAAATTTTTGAAAATTTTTTCATGCTATTTTCATACAAAACTTTAATTGCATTGCGCTCTATCCAAACGACAATATTAAGAGCTAAAACTTCTAAAGAATTGTTTCTTATCAATTTGGAACCATTACAGCTCTTGCGAGCAAGAAAATTCGAAAATGTCCATATTAAGGATCACCCTAATATATATATATATATATATATATATATATATATATATATATATATATATATATATATATATTGTATTATTATTATTGTTTTATTGATTCGACATAGTGACCTGCAATAGGAAAACACTTAGGTATTGAATCGGATCATTTCCATTCATGTCATCACATTGATGTGTTTCCATAATCTAGGGCTATTCTGCCAAAGGCTTTGTAATTAATCAAATTTGAAAATAGCCTATAATAATATAGTATAAGCGTTATATCATGTAACACGGAAATTATAAGGCATGTGAAAGACCATCATTGATCTCAGTCAGTTAATGAGGAAACGAGTTTATGAAGGATAACTAGAGAAAATTATATAGGACTAGGATCGTATGAAAATGCAATGATAAAATCAAAAGTTTCCGACAAGAATCTCACTAGATCAGAAGCTAAACAGAGTCTTATTAGAACGGATGCTTTTCTTAAAAACTCGATTTTTATTTTCTGCACTTTTTGCTCCGTATCTCCAAAACGGCTGGACCTGCCTTTGCCAAAAACTAATCAGCACATCTCCTTATCAATAGGAATCGAATTCAAATTCAAATCGGTTGATCCGTGCGCCCGAAAACGTGAACGAAAAAATGCGGCACACAAACACACACACGCACACACATATTCATTTTTTCTGAAGTATGCCAAAATGTTCAGAAACATCTAAACCCAAAGATATGCAAAACTTTTATTTTCGATTTTTGGTCCTTTACAATAACTTACCCTACAAGAAGTTAATAAACCTTAGAGTGTTTTCAAATATACAATGGCATATCATCTAATTTATTAAATGCTTTCTTAATAGCAATGTCCATAATGTTAGTTAACATTTCCGGAATTCGAAGTGCTAATTCGAGTCGCAATTCGGATATCGAGTATCAACCCTATAGATTGTTGTGTTTACCCGTAACCGATCACCAACCCTTTGGTACCTCTGGGGGATGTAATTTAGATTGTGCGCAGGTATTATGTATGGAACTATCGAGATAATGCAAGCACGCTCTATTATAATATTAATGGTTCTGATGATACAGTTTAGTTAAAATTATGGCCCAGGAAGATAAAAAAATAGATTATTTGATAAGTCAATAAAAGTAATAATTAAATTATATATCACAATTATTAGAATTGTTCTTAACTTCGCGAAGCAGATATTAATAATTTTGTCATAACATCCGATTCCAAAATTTTATGTTTCAGAGAATCAACTTCTGATTTGCTTGACTCACGATTTAGAAAATACATATGCATATAAGTTTGTATGAATGAGTATGTCAATTTGAAAACTTTAAAAACCATTTCTTAAAACAGAAATATGCACATGCAATATTGTATATAACAATTTCATTTTACCTCCAAGTTGTAATTCTGCAGAAGCTTGAGCAGTATCGCCGTCTTGCCTTCGAACGACACACTGGTACATGCCTCTGTCTTCGCGACCAACAGAAGGCACCAGCAAGGTCTGACCAGTGTGACCAGACCCTGGTAGTTGTCTGCCATCCTGAAAAAGAAAACTATATGTTAAATATCAACTCTTACAAAATCAGCACTTAAAATATATTAATTGCATAAATAAATTTGTGTTATTTTCTATAACACCTTCATGTCAAGTTTATCGTGTATAAAAATATAATATGGAAATAATTACTAAAATTCTAGCGTTTTGCTGTTTCTTCAATCCATGAACCGCTAAAAATGTGGTGCGACGTTGAACGTGTTTTTCTCAAGTTATGCTAATGTTACTTCTTTTAAAACATCGCAAGAGTGTTGTTATATTGTTCCCAAACGACCGCGGATGTCACGAAACATTTATGAAAATCAGAAATAATATTTTTTTATTTATGTCATATTTTTTACTTATTATGTATTATTTGTTCAAAGATGAATAAATAAAATATTTTTTTTCACATACACACACACACTTTTTCCAATCGGGAAATTAATAATAAATATCAACTCGCCACTAAAATTTAATATGTATTTACTACTATTACTTTCAAATTCATATTTACATTACCCTAACCACGAAAACATGAAGTGATGGAATATTCCAAATCTGTTAGCATATTAATAAAACAATTAATTTAAATTCTCGTTTCTAGATACCTATTTTTACGGAATTTACGCGTACCCTGAGTTCCGCTCACCAACCTGGACCTACGGGTCGTTTCAGGTTGCTGTCAATTTATCATAACGGCTATCACCATACTGCTATCATATGAAAAATTATAAATAATAGAGTAGATATATTAAAAGAGAAAATAATGTATTTCGATAGAGTCAAATACCAAGCATCAGAAAATATCATCGTGATACAAAAAAAATATTGTTTTACCGCTTTGGTCAATTTGGAGTTGCCGTTACTCTAAGTCTCAAAATCAGAGAACTAATTTAAGTCGACGGTCTCCTTCAAATTTGCGGATTTGCAAATCATAAGTCAAGAGCTACTTGAATTCATATAAAAGTCAATTTAAATTCTTCTGCCCTATCATGAAAAAAATTGACTACGAGATACTTTAGAAAGTTAAACTCTGCTTATATATATTTTATTTTATTTCAAGCAATTAGAATACAACATCCTATGAGCAACAAGCCTATGATCAATTCATTTACTCACACACATACACTTCCACTTATAAACATATATATATATATATAAAATTATTGTATTAAATTTAAGTCTTATTATATTATAGTAACTTCAATAACTGATTCACCACATCTTTGGATAAAAGAGCTGGAGATTGGTGATGAAGTTAAATAACTTGAATATTGTCTTTTGGAATGTTCAACTCAGCTTTCTTGAAACTGGAGACTCAAAAAGTTGAGCGACTTTAGAATAAGTATGATTTTCTAGATTTAGGAAATGTTGAATACTGCTTCACTTCATTACGATATTTACAAATTATAATACTCCGTTTATATGAAAATGTTATTAGTTCGACTAAATTTTAATTTGTCCTCTTGTCCACGCAAAGTTTCATAGCTAAAGAAGTAGCTTATAACGGAATATATCGTATATTCGTATACGTTAATATTTTATATTAACTACTATATTAATTTTAACTAATAACTAGTGGTGCATGGCATCGCGCCATAAAGCAAATTGCTGAAATTTCCCGTACCTTAATGAAATATTAGAAGAATATTAAATGCTCACAAAGAGATTATTATAAATACTGTAACTTTTATTATTATTTGTTTTTTATAGAAAAAATATAAAAAATTATAAATTGGACGCTGACTATTATATATGTTACAAGAAGACTAAGAATCAAAACTTGATCAAGCGGAGTTAGAATGAAAGTTTTCTCTCATATTATAGAGAATTATATATCTTGAATTGCAAAGTTAAAATTATTCATTTTAAGTATATTGTGGGCTTCAAAATTTTAGCTAAAATTGAAATTAAAATCCAAAATATTTCCTATATCCAAAAAAGGAGAATAAAAGGAAATATGTATAGAAACTAATCGTACCTTTACAAGCAAAATGTTCTTTGAATCATTTCAATCAGATGCTTTGTTCTCTAAAAACTGACATTTTTTACACTTTTAACTCATTAGCCCCGAAACGGCTAAGCCTGTCTTTGCCAAAATTTATTCACCATGTCTTTTCATCATTACGTGTTGAATGTTTTTTGAATCATTCAAATCGGAAACATAGTTCTCTCAAAAACCTAATTTCCATTTTCTGCACTTTTTGCTCCGTATCTCGGAAATGGCTGGACCGACCTTTCCCAAAAGCTAATCAGCACTAATCCTCATTAGTAGGAATCGATTGTTTTTTGAATTATTCAATTCGGATGAGCGGTGCTCCAAAATCGTTGACAAAAAATTGTATCAACTCATACATACACACACACACACACAAACATTCATTTTTTCTAAGGTGTGCCAAATGTTCAAAAATCTTCGAAACGTTAAGATATGCAAAAATTACCATTCTCGACTTTTAATCGATTACTATAACTTACACTACGGGAAGTTAACGAATAATCTATTAAGTATACAAATTACCTCTTACCTTGTACCACGTGATGAAGATATGTAAAAATTATCATTCTCGATTTTTAATCGATTACTATAACTTACCCTACGGAAAGTTATCAAATAATCTATTGAGTATACAATTTACCCCTTACCTTGTAACCACGTGATGAAGATATGCAAAAATTATCATTCTCGATTTTTGATCTATTACTATAACTCACTCAACTAGAAGTTAACAAATAATCTATTACAAAGTATATAATTTACCCCTCACCTTGTACCACGTGATGAACTGCGGCCCGACCTGATTGCCCTGCGAGGTAACGATGCACCTAAATTCGGCGGCGCCGCCCATGTGAACGCTCAACATCGCCGGCGATACTTCAACATTGAGTGGAGTAGTAACTGACAGTCTGAAATTCGTGACAACACAATTAATTAATTCGAGTACGAAGTGTGTATATGTGTGTTTGTGTGCACAAACGACAAGCTGAAGGCTGAAGGCAGCTCATCCGAAATGCGATCTATGGAAATGCCATTAACGCAATTGACGAACGGTTGTAATTTCATATACCAAACGTGGTTTTTAATTAGAAAATATCATTAAATGGCAAGATCAGAGTTGTTGAAGGAGTAGAAGTTTGATGAGGTAGAAATATTTATTTTACCTGAGTTCGGCACTGGCTTCTCCGCCCGCGTTTACGGCAGTGCAGCGGTATTGGCCTGCATCGTCCGGCGTCACGGCTTCTACAGCCAAAACAGGGCCCAGTAACCTTATTCTTGGACCCGCCAGAACCAGCAAAGGTTCCGGTCCTGATTGCGAATACCATCTGGAATAAAAAATAACATATAAATATATGATACAATAATAGTAATAAAAATGCAAATGTAAATGAAACTAGTCGTAAGTAGTATTTTGCCTTGAGGCAAGTTGCATAAATTTTCCGATATAAATTAATCATTGAGAATCGACATACTGCTATTTAGATAAAAAGCTCAACTGTTTATTTCATAAATAGAGCTACAGCTAAAGATTTTTTTTTCCATTTCAAAAACATATATTTCAATAAATGTATATATCAACATTTCATTGAGCTTTATCTGGATATTTACTCGTAGGTATAGTATCCGTCATATCTACTCTAGTAAAACATTAATAAGTATTTAGAATATAAAATATTTATATTATATAATATATTTAGAATATATAATTGTGTGACAAAAAAGAAGGAAAGGAAAATGTTTCCCAAAAAAATCAGATAACAATATTTACTAAAGAATGATTAACACAATTATCAATATAGGTATTTTAAGCTTACTTATAATATCTGTATTTGTATAAATTTATGAACATGTTTACCATATTTCATTTAATCTATTCCATGATCTAAGAATGTATTTTACTTAAGTGTGAATGTCAACTGTAATCAGTAGCTACCTACAAAACACTTGCAATTCTGATTAGAATTGCATAAGAGCATATGGTAAAATTTCGACAATTTTTTATAATTCAATCGCATATCGTAGGCCTATAATACTTTAGTATACTATTTCAAACTTCTATATTTATTGTTTCATCAAAATCGTCAAACTTTTTCGATAGATTTTTCAAGACCGATCTTTACCAAAAATATTCAACGCGATTCTCAATCAATATCTTTCAGAAAGTTTTTAAATTTTTGAAATCGATTCAAGATCGTGAACTAAAACGTGGATAATTTATTTCACTTTTCTGCAAATTACAAAAAAATGGCTTGGCTGATTGATGCACAAAACTGTCAAACGTTAGTCCTTATGGAACTCCATCAAATGCTTATTTAGGATAAATAAATATATATTTAGTAGTGTAAAGATATCAACATTCAATATAACAAAAGAATACATTAGAAATTATTTCAAAAGATATGATGTTAAGAAATGATATTACGAAATGTGACTATTTGCTATGCAAATGAATAATATTCTAAGTATGTTTTTATATACATGTAAGATTTTGTCAATAGCTTTTTTGTTTCATCATAATAAGTGTGTGTTTATACTATTACTTACATGTAAAATAGTTCAATAACGAATTGAACGATTTTATAATGAATAAGTTACTAAATGACTTTTAAAATTTTGAAATCGGTCTAGGCTTTTTTACACACACACATATTTTTCTCATATTTGATCACATTTCATTAAAAATGACTTGAGACATCGAGAAGAGGTAAAATCAGTAAATCATTTTTTATGCAAACTTTTGCTTCGGCAAGTTAAAAATCAACGTATTTTTATAAAGCAGTTCAAGATTTATTTGAAAACATGTACGAAATATTCTGCTTATCTAGAGTTACAAAGAAAATTTTTACTCCAAAGAGCAAATCTTCTAAAAATCTTCATTTTCAAGCATAATCGAGACCACAGTTCAGCAAAATGCAATAACCACTCTTAATCATGAATTATATTTATTAACATATAAAATAGAACAGGTAAGTTTTATAATAAAAGTGAAGATACTTTTACAAATGTATACTCGTATATACATAAGCACATTCAATATACCTACGTGAATTTACAGATGTTTGAAATAATTAACCTATAATATAGTGAGTTTTCATGCATATAAAATTCTCAAAACTTAAAGTGAATCCGCATTATAAAAACTTTTCCTGTGACAGCCCGACCGTCGAATTAAAATTTATGAAGACTCGCGGTTACATCGTAAAGATGTCCCTATTAAATTTTAATTCTCATGTAACCGTCGGTAAGCTAATAATGCTTTTCCCCCGAGCCTAGGATATCACAAAATGTCCCCAAACCATCCCCAACAGCAACAACCCTTGAGAAAAGTCCCAGTCCCGGTTGAATAATTAACACCCACGTAGGGTAATAAAAAGCGGAAAGAAAATATAAGAAAGATGAAGAAAATATGCTCGCGGCCCGTTGGGAAAACTTAGAGATTTAAAAATGAAAAACACATCAAATTTTCCGTAATGCAGAAACACAGCGGAGGATTCTAAGATGCGAAATTAAATATAACGTCTTTCAAAAGGTTTTGTTTTGTATTGTTGCAGTTGTCTTTTGTGTTGTACTTTTGAGCTTAATTTAATTGCATGTGAAATTCTTACCGGGGTAATTGTTGAAGTTTTGAACAAACATAAGGAAAATTGCTTTTCTCTAGATGTAGAAAAGAAATTTGTAATTAATTTATATATTTTGCAATGCAGGAAGCTTAATTGAAGTACGTTGCTTGAATGCAATAAATAGTAAAATATCAAAGTATAAAAAGTTGAGTTTCTTGTTCAGGAAAAAAATGTTTTTTAACAAATCTATTTCATAATGAAAATTTTTACTATTTAACACATATTAAACAAACAAATGTGGTCAGTAAAAATCCAACATTGTAAAAATATGTTTTGCAATTTTTCTAAAATTTGGTATCTGGTCTTTTTTACCCCATAGACGCGGTGAAAAGGAATCCGGAACGTAAAAATATCTACTATTTTATTTTGAAGCAGTTTTATAGAACAATAGCAGTATTAATTAACCAATGAGATGCAGATTAATTATTAAATTGGACAACAATCTTGAAAATCATAATCTAAATATGTAATTTTTAACATAACATAAATCTTACTTGGTATTAAATATGTGTATATTTACATAACATTGTGCATTATTTTATAGCAAGCTAAATATCAGTTTCGTATTTATGAAATTAAAATACTATAAAAATTAAGAAAGCTTAATTTTTTTTTGAACAGGGGTGCAAAAAGTTTGGAAATCATTGCTTTAAACTAAGATATCAGATTTTATCATTAGAATTTTAATGGCTAAGTTGATAAACTATACGTATAAAAGAGTTATGATTATGATAAAATTTTAAAAATTCTAGGAAAGAGGAATTGTTGAGCTATTTTTCATACCAATAAGAGCTTTACTTTTAATTTTAAAAAATACCATTATATGAGACAATCATACCATTAGTAACACATTTAAGATTTTGTAAATATATAAATTTATCAGTTGTTCTAATCAATATATCTAGAATTCACAAGGTCGATATAGGGTTGGGTGAGGTACAAAGGTCCAATTTGACTTTCAGTCATTATACTGCCCAAACCAAATAATCACACGTATCAAACAAACAATTATCAAACTATGTTTAGCAAAATTCCTGTTAGTTTTCAATTATAGAAATATGTCTCTATAATTTTTTTTATTTTTTTTTTAAATTTGTTGTCTGTCTGTTTTATGCCATAAGAAGGGTAAAAAGGGGCAGCCAATAGGCAAACAGATACAAAGTCTTTTCATTGAATTTTACGAAATAATAGCTGCAATATTCAACCAATGGAAAATTAAAATTTTATGGACACATTATTACAAAGACTACATTTAAAAATCATAGTCTGCACTCTGCAGTTCAATTAACTTATAAATTAATAATTATCACAAAATAATTATCACCAGAGTTGGAATAACTATCAATTTATCTCTTGAAAAATTTCTTTTTTTAACCTAATTTTATTATACCTTTGCCAGAGTAAAGGTTCAGTTGGTCCTTTTAACCCCTTCCATATATGAGCTATTATAAATGTTATATAAAAACATCTGTTGAATATTTATAAAACCATATTTAACTAGTTGGTATTAGTTGGTATTAGTATTTTGCCTTGAGGCAAGTTACATAAATTTCCAGATAAATGCCAGATAAATCCAGATAAATTCCAGTGTAAAATTTTGAGAAAACGTCGATTTACGACAAAAAATCTGTTCACACACATACACATACACACAAACACATACTTTTTCCAAATTTTGTCTCATTCGATTCAGAATGGCTTGAAACGTCGAGAAAACGCAAAATTAGGGAATCGTTTTTTTATGAAAACAAACTTTACCTTCGGGAAGTTAAAAATTATATTAAACTAAACAATAGTGCTCACTACCAAAAAATCTAGCAATCAAAAAAAATACTTTTGGCATAGATTTTCAAACATGGCGGTTTATCTCCTGATAGCGACATTGCTTGATTTGATGCCTGATTACACATCTTTTTCAAATATTGTTGTTAGAAAATTTTTAAGTTTACTTGTTTTTTAAGAATTGATGGTGCACCTTTTTATCTGCAGACCTCTACCCTAACATGAGAATTATCATATGAATCAGGTTTTTGAATTTTTTTTGTCGGGTTATATTTCATGCCAATGCGATTTTTGCTTTACATGTATTTCTAAAATTTTTGAATAATGATCTAATCAACTGTATCTCTCTACAATACATGGGATGAGTATCTAACTATATCTTTCAAAATGCATCTAATCAGAGTGACATGGTAAGTTCGTTGGCTCTGATATCAGCCGCCTGGTTTGACATGACTCAACTGGAGGAGACGTTCATGTCGTTTCCGTCGGTGATTGCCAGGCAGGAAATTACAATTCGCCCATTCTCTCCCGACGAACAATCCTAGGATAATGGCTAGGTATCACATTGCTAGTTCTATATTAGACGGATTGTGTTACTAGTTTTAAAAAATTTCATACTTTTTTAATTAAATGACTATTGCTGATGTAATGGGCGTCAGTGACTAAGTCAACAAGATGAATTCTTGATGTTTTAAACTTTTAATTTTAGTTAGAGCGAGGCTTAAAGATCCGCGGATAAAAAGGTCACCAACCGATATCTCAAAAACCAGTAAAGCTAAGAATTTTTCAACAGCAATATTTGGAAGTAGAAGAAAAAAAGATGTATAACCAGACTTTACCTTAACTTTTACGACGTTTCCATATAGAAGAATAACTGCAATGTTTAAACATCTATAACAAAATTTTCTTTCGTTGTTATTTGTTCTGATTAATAGGTCTGCTGCTTAGTTTACGAGACTTTATTTAATATTTTATATAATTTTTAAGTATACGTTTTTTATTTATATCATATGATATATTGTTAATTTTCAATTAGATTCAACAAATGTTTTTATATAACCTCTATAAAAGCTTACAACTTGGTGGGCTAAAAAGAACCAACTGAACCTTTTTCCTGGCAGAGATGTTAAAAATAAAAAGTAAATAAAGTAATTTTACAAGCAGTAAAGTAAATATTTACTCCAACTCTGTTCCATAAAAATGCACCCATTGAAAATTCATATTTTGCACTGGTTCAATAATGTAGCTAATATTTTGTAAAATCCCTTCAAAAAAACATTGGATCTGTTTGCCTCCTGGCCGTCCCAATGTACACCACCTAGTAGGTAAAAAATACCAGGTTATAAATTTTTGAAAAAGTGCAAAAAACACACTCAACTGTTTAATGTCAAATTAGACATTTGTGCCCTAATTTCAAAAAAACTCTAAATTTTATTTTTCATACAATATCAAATGGCATAGCAATAGAACTTTATTTGCATTATATTTTTCATCACGAATGCTATAATTTTCAATACGGCTTTGTTAATATTCAAAACATAAACTATAATTCAACAGAATAAATGAAACGATGTATATCAGATCCCTGTTTATGAACCATATCGAGATCTTTAGGCAACCTGTTCTATTACCAGGAAGAAAATCTACTTCTCTTCGTTATGAACTGAAACTATCTTGTATCAAAACAAGAACATCTCCTTCGGTTTCTGTTGATATTTTGTTAAGTAGAAACATGTCTTTATTATAAAATATTTATAGTAGAAATAGCAAGATGTATCTGATCAAAATTATTTATATTATTATTAGATTAATTATAATAATCACCAACCGCAGAACAAAAATTGCTTATTACTAAAATGCATAAATCAAATCAAATTAAAAATAATATGTTTGAAGTTTTTAAATAAAATACATAAATGCAAGATAGATTTTTGGCAAGTATAAGGGATGTAATATATAATAAATGATGAATAAAATATTCTATAAACTTAAATAAAACAATACTTAAGCGCAAGAAGACAAGATAAATTTATAATATAAATTGTAAAATTAATACAATCGTTGTTTGAATTACATGTGTATATATATATATATATATATATATATATATATATAGATATATATATATATATATATATATATAATTTGCAATTTAAAACGAATAATAATCGATTCCAATTAATTTAATTACAGTCTATAATCCTATAAAACGCTTGCAGTCCATTATTATTAAGTATTAACATATAAACTACAATAAAACTCAAAGCGATTAATATAGCTTTGATATTCAAATAAATTTATCGAAATTATAGTACCTATTAGCTTTTGTAAATATAATTGCAAATATATTAATAGCGATAATAATAATAACATAAAAATGTGCGAATTTTGCAAAAAAACTGAAATAGTATTTCCAATGTTTAAAATTTACCTGTAATAATATTTCTGTTTCTAAAATTGTTATTTATAATTTACTTTTTATTAATAATATTTTTATTAATGATTACTTCGTATTAATTTAAATAGAAACGTATATTTTTACTAAAATCAAATTTATCTTTCTATTAAAAATCAAAAATGCATATTTATGTGTAAAGTTGTTGACACAATTTCTCAAAATAT